TTTTCTGAAGATCAGATGGGTTGGGTACGGTGAGGAGTCTGACTCTTGGGAACCAGAAGAAAATCTTACTGGAGCTGAAGATATATTGAATGACTTCAAACAAACGCATGAGGATGAGTTTCTCCGTGCACGTCGACTGCTTGAAAAGCGTGAATCAAAGCCTACAAGAACGAAGCGACAGCGTAGAACTAGAGGTTCAGCGTCGGTAACTGTTTCGGCATTTTTGACGTTCTGTGGGTTTTCTATAAAACTGCCGTTCACCGTCTGTTGCTTTATTGGGTTTAGACTCATTCTGATGAAGAGGAGAGTTCAAAGGTTGAAGGCGGGCCTCCCACAAAGCGAATAATTGTTGAAGTGCTTTCCAGCGAAAGTGACGACGAAGATTTTGTTCGAGTGAAACGAAGGTAAAAACCTGATGTCGCTAATCTTACTGAAGCATTTTATGATTATTAAGAATTTTGAAACGGATAGCCGTTGGCTTTGGGCTTTAGGTATTTGTGGAATTCAGAGTAGCTGCTCACTAGCAAAGGTTTTGGTGAAGTGAAGCGAAGGCATTTTTAAACTTTAGTAAATCTGAACAATTATGGCTCGATTGTACACATATTCATTTTTTGATATGAATGAATTTAGGTCTGTTTTCTGACAGGAATGATTTTTTGTAATGAGAAAGGGTCTGTCGAGTAGGCTTGAAAAGACGGCCTTCTAATGTTAAATAAGTTAGAGCATTGGAGGGGAAGTGTGACGAAAGCGGAAGACTTAGCAACTCATACACTTTTTACGAGGTTTTGCATTAGGAGGAGACGAGGTATTACAATGAAATTTTTTTTTGGGGGGGGGGGGGTTTAAATCCAAAGAACTGGATAGTTTGGAGCCTTTGGTTTAGTCCAATAACGGGCATTTTGTATTATTTTTATTGACTAAGCATTTATCTATTCTCGATTCCATCAGGTATTCGGAGTTTATAGGTTTTGGTCTGTGTTTCTAGTATTTTAAAGTAAGTCAAGTATTAGGCTTACAGGTCCTTATGGTCAGCTGAGTAAAATATTTTAGAAGCAAAGAGTTTCTGCGAAAAGCTTGCAGATATGGTCAGTGAAAAAACTTTTGATGTGTTTCGGAATTCATAGCGGGTTTTATTTAGATTCTCAAAATTTGGCTTCATTGGCCATCTCATCAGCGTCTTTCTTTACTTTTCGTAAGAATTCTTTCACGCGCCATGCTAAAAGTTTTGGTTCATCGATATTCCCATTAAATTTGCATAAGGTAAAAGGATTATTTTGTTTTAGATTATTTTGCGCTTTTATACTACCGATAACACATACTCTTCTTTAGACATCCATTTAGAGTTTTGATTTTGTGTTTTCACGCAGGGGCTGGAAGTATTCAGTAAAAAGGGACAAAAGGGGAGGAAGAACGGAAGTAGTTTACTTTTATTTTAACAGGGTTTTGGAGGTGTGTCGAGGATTTTCATTAAAATATTAAAACATTTGTGAGAGCTGCGTCTGTTATGTTGAAAAAGGCTTGAAGCTGATTTAATTTTTCCACTTTGTTGGAGTGGTTTTTTTTCTCTTATCAAATGCGTCACTGCGAATAAAGTTCAGTTGTTGCTTTACGCCTTGAAATACCGCGTTTTTATTTTGGTCGAATGTTTTGTGGAATAAAGTTGTTGGTTTTTCTGAAATAGGTTGGTTGCTTAACTTTTTGTTTTTGGGGCAGGTTGTCATATTTCTTGGCACCAGTTTTTAGTGTATGTAAATCATTGCACACTGAAACTATTTCAGACGTAAGGCTCCTCCGCGCGACGACTTTTCACCATCAGATAAAGAGAAGGAAAAGGATTTGCCTTTGGTATTGTTTTTTAATTTATATCTTTATTAGCTTTTCGTTGCTGACCTTATATACGTCATTTTTTTTTTT